CCGTACAGTACTGAACACCACTTTTACATAACACTCCTTGCCACCGATATTGCAAGCATCGTCCAGAACTTTCTACTCCAGATGATTCTGGAACAGGCAGAGGTGGAGGAGGTGAATGTGGAGGAGGAGGAACGAAAGGTGGCTGCGATTGAGGCAAAGGTGGTGGAGATGGGGGCAATGGAGGTGGCATTTCAGGCAGAGGAGGTGGTAGAGATGATAATGGTGGTGGCACTGTCGGAACTGAAAACATTAGGTCAAATTGATGCGCTGGAGTTCCTTGTACTTGTGCAAGTGGAGTCACTGAAGCAGGAATGAAGGGAGATACAATAGCATTACCATGAAAATTGTTGGGCATTACACCTGGTGAGATTGGGTTCAAAGGAGGATTATGATTTACACCCCGTGGATCCCAGGAACTATTTGGAGGGAGGTAAATGGGTCGTATAAATGGAGATGATTGGATTTGGGGTGGAGGTGGGACAGAGGGTCCCTGTGTAGGCACAGGAACGCATGGAATGCTCCCTGGTGCAGAATGCAGCTCCGTTCCAGGTTTTGCATACATCCAGTTTTGTTCAGTGGCATGAGAAGCAACATGACTACCTAGAGTAAAATCATCCAATATACAGTTCCTTTAGTATCAAAAGGAAAGAAAAGGAGAGGGGAGGGGGAAAGTTTAAAAAACAAATTTATATATAAGTTCATCACCTCCTTGTGAAGGATCCACCACAGCTATGTTATTGTCATAACCATCAACCTTTTGGGTGCCAGCTTCAAGCATCTCTGTACTGCCAGTAACAGCTCTGTTTGACTGAAACGTATACCCACTCTGTACTGAATTCCCCTGATTCTCAGACTTTACTCTAGGGGATACAAGCTCCATGGGATGGCTGTCATGATTTACTGAGAATGGTGCAGCAACATGACCACTAGACATGTTTCCAGGGTTGTTGCTTCTGTGGGTAGGGGTAAGCACAGATCTTGCACCGTCAATTTGAGATATTACGACATTAGTTGGCCCTGCACTATACGGTGGCCTGTAATTACTCCTTTCCTTGCGATGTTGTCTGAGATGTGCCATTACAGCAGCAGCTTCTTCAGGGGTATCAAATTCCATCAGTAATGCACCTTCATTGCTAAGATCGGTGATCATGTAAGGACCCTTGTAAAGCACTTTCCTTGATTCATGCAGAATCTCATCCTTGGCCCATTGGCTTAAAACATTTCCAACATAAACATGACAACTAGAACCAACTGCAACACCATTCATAGCACCTCTAGTTCCCAGTCCTATATCCATAAACTTTATGTGCCAAGGAAAGTGTCCGCGCATATATTCCCGAGCCTTTACAGCATCGAGAATGTTTCTGTACTCAACCAAGGCAAATCCTTTGATTGGGAAGAAAATAAATTGTTCTATCACACCAAACCTCTCTAACTGAAACCTTACATGAGCTTCAGATGCATCAGATCCTGAGAAACCCAGCCAGAGCTGTTTAGAAGCAGAGAAAATATCCATGGCTCCAGTATCCCCATCAGAGCACCAAACAATTTGTGTTGTTGTGGAAGTATATGGTGAGACCAAATGAGGTTGAGTTGGTGTGGAAGTATATGGTGACACCAGATGAGGTTTAGGAGATTCAAAAGAACTATTTACACCTCCACTTGAAGATCTCAGGAGAGGTGATCCAAAATCCATTGCATCTTGATTCTTCTCAAGATGAACATGTTTTCTCCCATCAAATGAATTACTCCTGAAGTCTAATGGAGATCTTGTGACAGGTGAAAGCACCTGGTGGTTCATTAGGTCCCTGGGCACGGAAGACCTGCCGTGTGACATATCTCCATGCTCCCTAATCTCACAGTTTGTGGACCTTGTCCCCCCACTGTCTTGATTGGAACCCACAATATTAGTTTCAAGAGGGATTATAGAGCTGCGAGGTTTCAGATTTAGGCTTGAAACTCTGTCAGAATAAACATCATCATATGATCCACCATTAGGCCTTAAATTACTATCTTTTCCAAATAGTTCACTACAGGTTTCATGTTGGTTAGAGAACCTAGGCACCAGATATGCCCGTTCAATAAATCTGGATGGATCAGAATCATCCTCATCACTATCCACCTGGTTGTCTTCCACATCCATTTGTTCTACAAATGATTTAAAGACATCCTCCAAAGAAGATTTAATATCAGATAACTCCTTGAAAGACTGCAACTTGCACAACTTCTTATACTTTGAGAATATCCAACTTCGCAATGACGGATCTTTGCTAAGAACCTGCATTTTAAAGAAAAAAGGAAAACAATAACAAAAACGACCCAGTGCAAGAGATTATCAGCAAGACCAGAAAAGGAATAACAATAATCAAACCACTAATCAAAAGGGGAAAAAATTAATTCGGATACCTTATCTTCAAACCAAATACCTAAGCACATCTTATTTCTAACAACCAGTCAGATGTACGAGAATAACCTTTATACGAATGTTAAAAATCCCCATTTAGCGGTGTCTACCCAAATTACCACATCCCCTCTACACATGTCTTGGTTTAGAACTTTATTGCAATAAAGTACCTAATGTTCTAAAACTCAGTCAACTCAACAACCCCTTTCCTAAAGAAATTTGTTGCATTGAACTTGAGCTGAGTTGCAATTCCAGGACACATGGAAGGAAGGATGCATTTGATCTGTCATGCATATCCATACGCTAATTACCATACCCTAAAATTACACATTATGTGTTTTTGTTATACAAACAATGCTAGATAAAAAGATTTCCCCAATTCTGTTAAAAATAAACAAGAGTTAGTGCCCAGTATTTTCTTCAATCTCTTGAAAATACTAATATACATTGTCCCAAATTAATAGCTTATATGGCAAAGACTATCAAATTATATCAGTACTAAAACTCAGAATCTAATAGCATGACATCCATTCAATACGCAGGGCAGCTCTAAAAAATTACCAGTCCTAACAAGCAGCTGTTTTTAACTGTAGATACAACTCCACAGACTTGGGCACCATCTGACGCTAGCTGCTCAGAGCTAACCTCATCCCTTCTGGTGCTAGATTCACTATAACCTGTACTTGATTTTGGTTCATCACCAGTTTTACCCAAAGGATAGCCACCATCATTATCAAGCCTGCTTGTCATTTGACTTAGGAAATACTGCCCTTTCAGAACTCCCTCTGATGCACTGGATTTGAAGAGTTCGAACCAGGCTGAAAACAATTCTTTAGGATAACAAAAGAAAATCCAGAGTAAACTGAGAGCACATAACTTGGATAATTTAATCGGTGAAGATTCATTTTCATCTGAAATCTTATGCTTTAGCTCAGAAAAAATCTCAGAAGAATCTTGTATTCTCACAGTTTCTTTCCCAACAATCATAAAGACATCCTTTCCCTCAAAGGTGGATATGAAAAAGGTGAGCACATTCTGGAAAACTGTAGAGCAAATACCCCGAATAACAGATGATGTTGGCGCCACTGAAGAAGCAGTGCAACAAATATCAGATAGACCAAGAATACAGGATTTAGCTGTCTGAAATGCAACACTCTCAGCATCCTCTCCTCTATTTATTACCGCCATGCTCCAGTTATACATATTGATAACAACTTTTGCCGCGGCTTCAAGAGCAGTTGGGCATTTTGAAGCATATCGAGGAATGAGATCAGCCACAATACGTTGTACGCTCGTACAACCTGTGAAGTTAGCCTGAGGATTACCACATTGGAGAGAAAAATTTATAATCTACAGTATGAAGGCTGCTTATTCTCTCTTTCATTCATTAAAGCACTTGTGCAGGGCGCAATGCATCTAACTAGCAGCTTTTTTTGGTCTGAAAATCTAACTAGCAGCTTGGAGCAAAGTAGTTGAACATAGGCAAATTAATGATGAAAGATAAGACTAATGGGCTAATCAGCACCTACTTTGTTCGCAGAACATTCCCAAGCTACCTATTTGATCTCATGCAATGCAAATTTATGTAGAACCCACAAGAAACACCCTAATTATGTAAGTTCCTTTGATGCTTCACTAAGATTTATATAGCTAACAATCATCATCTACTACTGGTTCTTTAAAGTTTCAGTAATTGAAGAAACCAAAGGCTCAACATGAAATAAAACAGCATCATAACCTATTTCTTTTCTTCAGGCTTATCAGCAACCAAACATTAACTCAGCTAACCCCGCCGTAAGCACTACAGTTCAACATTTGCACGAAAATAAACAAATAAATCTGAAAAAAGAGGAGCAAAAGAGTAAAATTCACACTGACCTCTGGAAGCAGTGATGAGAGAGAGATAAGCTTGCTCGAGCTCAGGCGTGAGAGCAGAGTCATTCTTGGAAAGGCAAAACTTAATCCGCTTATAGCACTCGTAAACGCTTCGAATCTCGTCTCTGTGTCTACGTTTATTAAGAATTTCTTCATTAGATTGTGGAGCTCCGACGCTCGGGGCAGGGGCTAGGGTTTGCGGTGGCGGTGGCGGTGGCTGAGATAACGGCGGTGATGACGGTGGCTCTGGTTGAGCTTCGTACAGCTTTCGCTTCTTCGGCGGTTGCTCTCCGGAGGCCATGGCGAGAGAGAGAGGACGGTGGCTCACTGAGATTTTGGTGAATAGTGAGCGTGGCCGGCGGTGTGCGAACTTCGAGTCTTCTACTCGATTTGGTCGCTAGACTCCCAACTAGTCCGTTCTATTGACAAGAAGGGTCCCACCATCAGTGAAGCTGTACCTACGTGGCTCTGTAGATTTATATTAGCCGTCGGATATACGCGAGGATGGGTGGGTCAACGTTTTCAACGGTTTTATTTCCGTGAAGAAGAAAAAGAAAAGAAATTTATTTCTGCTCAAATATTTATATTTCGAAAAGGACATTGCTTGGCTCCTGTTACATCAGGAGGCTTTCCTCCTTCACATGCGATGTGGCCTCTTTACAAAATGACACCTGTCTCATTTTTTATATTTTTGGGTCCCCAACTCTTTTCAACTCTTTTATACCAAGAGCCCTTTTAACTCAGGCCACTCTCTTCTCTCAGAGAGACTTCCAGCGACGTAACCTCTCACCATCGACTACGTAAATCTCCGATCATCGATAACATAAATTTCAGGCGAACTTCTCTCGCAGTTTGATTAATTCTTCTGGGATGGTTAGTCCAACAACAATGTTTCCCTTTCTTAATTTTGGAATTTTAGTTTTCATAATTCCTATACATGGCAGATTCTTCATATTTGGGGTTTTTTTTTCTTGACCACTTTTGATGAGTGGGTTTCTTATGTTTATATGGTTTATCAAAGCAGTATACTTGGAATGAACTTATGTTGATAAATATATAAAAATATCTATTTGATTTGTAACATAATCTTCTCTTTTCTCCTTGTAAGCTAACCAGGCTTTTAATTTGGGTGAAATAAATGGTTATAAGTTGCAATCAACTTGTTTGAAGAAATGTCTAAACCAAGTTGTGATCTTTTTTTTGTTTTGTTTTTGTGGTTTCTAATTTCTTAAATGATTTTAATTTCTATTTATGATCCAGTAGTTCTAATTGGTAGTGGCAATATTGTAGGTGGATGGAGATTCAAGAGTGTCCAAGACTAAGCAATATGTTCTCCAGTGATGTCAATGTTGTTTTCAACGTTTTTTTTTTCCTTGGAACAGGTTGGATGCAACCTATACAACCAATTTACTTTAGCAAAAGATATGAAAACCAATTAGCTTGTAAGGAGAGGAGAAAATTATATAACAAATTAAATACCTTTTATTTATTTATCAACATAAGTTTATAAGCAAGGGTCTGGGAGTTTAAAGTAGTTGGAGTTTGCTGTTGAGGAGGCTTGAGTTAAGCTAAAACTTGCCAACAAGACTTGGGTTAGAGAGTTGAAAGAAACAAAAACAAATAGTTGTCTTTTTGTAAAGTGCCCACGTGGTATTTGGAAAATACTCTGTGTCCTCCCTTAAAAGTATGAATTCCGAATTTCTACTAATCATAATTTGACGTACCGTATATAAATCTTTCTTTTTTGTATTTTGATGAATTTATGTATTATGTGTGAACACAAATATAGCTCTAATTGTTAGATTAATGAGATCAATGCGCATGTTCCTTATCATGAATGGGGGAAGCCATGAATCGAGGCAATTAGATAGGGGAATCAAGGTATTAGAATCCGATCAACTACTCCCCCTAGTTGATTCCATTTTCGATTTTGAGGGTATTCGATTACAGATTTAAAGGTGGAACCCACATAATTTTTTTTTTCCTTTTTTGAATACATCTGTGGTGAACCCCTTAGTTAGAAATTGGAATCATTCCAATACTCATGTGTTACACATGAGAAGCAGGAATTTGAATAATTTCAATACTCATTCTTGATAAGTAAAAATGTTATTAAGGACTCGTTTGGGAGTGATTCTAGAGATGCCAATAATCACTTTAAGTGATTTTCTAGATAAGCACGTGGGACGTAATTCTTTCTAGAGATGATTCTAGAGAAGCGCGTGGGAGGTGCTTCACTCCCAAACGAGCCCTTAGTCATTAGATTGTATTTACATTTAATGCTAAATGTAATATCGACGAATCCCATTATTTTTTTTTACGAATATTAGTATGGACAAATCCTGGTATTTATCCGTTAACAGTTTTTTTTCCTACACTTAACAACCTTCTTTTTTTTTTCATAAAAAACAATAGAATTTTATTAGATCAATAAAAATAATTACAACAAAGTCATGGTTGGCATTGTTTTACTTTTATATATGTATTAGATAATGCGAGGAAGACTCTTTTTTGCACCACATTTTACAGACCAGATGATGTAGGTATGAGATTAGTCTTAATGTTATCAAAACATGGAATTGCATGAATTCAATTCAGACCTGTTTAATAAAATATGAACATGTTCTGCCACAGATGAGAGCAGACAAGTTTTTCATTGGCATTTTTCACGGTACGTATATACGTACAAGTTACAATGACCCAACAATTTGCCTCTCTTCATCATGTTCTTGCAAATCCATCAGACATATAGGTTCATTATTTCTACTTAGAATTAATTTATTGCTATAGACTGGCAAATACTAAACTAAACAATGCTGCACGAGGGCTAGAAAGCCTGGCAGCTGCTAGCATCCAATGAACTTGTTCAACACATGTTTTTAGATCTTCTTCATCGGAATCTCAGAGAGTCAGATCAAAGATTTTATGCTATATATATCGGATGCTCAATATAGTATAAATCTTAATCTAAATGCACATTATAATTATGTGATTGTTGTTAATTTATTTATGCTTTCTGCCCAAGGGGGTCGTATTTAAGCACAAGAATCAGAGACGAGAAGTATTTATATAAAATAAAAAAATAAAATAAAAACTGAGGTGTCTCTTTGTGATTAAAAATGGAATTTATTTAACAAACCATTACAAGTTGCTATTAAAAAAGAAAACCCATTACAAGTTAAAAAATTAATGAGTAATGTATACTTCTGTTTTTTTTAAAACTTATAGGAACGCATTTTCGAACTTCTCTTTTCTAATTGTCTGTTAATATCGCTTATAACGGAATGGATACTGGCTCTTGCCTTGCCATTCAAGTTAAGGGCTGATGATGATGTTCTGTGGTCTGAAGTTTCCCCTCCATTGCTCTTCTGAGAAGCATTGTCAACCTCAGAACTGTAAGAACTAGAGCTATGCCTATCTAGTCCTGTGGTGCTCTCTTCATCTTTGACATTTGAGTTAAGCTTCTGTCCCTTGTTTGACCTCACATTTTTCTTACTTTCCTGTACCTGTAGGGTGTGAAGTTGACAATTAGATCAACAACTGCTTCAGAAATATTAAAATCAACAACCAAATCATCAATTTAAAACTTCAAATGGTTCTTACATCTTTCGAAAGACGGGGTTTCTTCTTCGGATTAGTCTCAAACATGTCCTTTCCTGGAACAGCAACAGCTGCTGGCTGGCTAGCATCTGAAAATCCCAATATTCTGTCACTGCCAGAATCTTGTTTGCCACAGACACTTCCTTCCATCACAGACTCAGATAATGCTGGGATGAAAAATGAACCAAAAGGACCAAAAGGACCAAAACCCTTTTGATCATGAGTTGTGGAGATATCATTGGTTACTGGGATATGGCAAGAAAGATATTGGAAATGAGAGTTGAGGCTATCTAAAGGATGAAACAAATTGACCCTGTCCAATCCCATTTCAGCTTCAGGGTTATTAGTGCAAAAGGTGGCTAGAGTTTCAAAGTTCATCCCCACATCATTGTGTTGGAAATTAGGAAATGAAGAAGAACCCTGACCAAGAACATGTGGTGGTGTGAACTAAAGCTCTTCTTCAGCAGAGAACAATCTGCTCAAAGAGTCCCATTCTCCATCAGGAAAAACACCAACACACTCCGTCTTTCCCTATTTGTCTAAGTGTAGTGTGCTACAGCTATTAGGAGCTCAGTTGCAAGTTGGGGCAAGCAAGGACTATAAACACTTTGTTGATGCCAAAAAGTGGTTCCGGGCTTTTGACGGTCAACTTAGAGATTTTGGGTCTTCGGAATCTTCCTGGGCCTCGGTAGAGCATGCGATCTGCAAAAGAGGGAACGCTCGGTAAGACCTAGGGTACCGGTGTGGTAACGGCCAAAGGCTCTCCGATGCTTAAGTAAGTTCGGATTTAGTAAGGATAACTGACAGATTAAATAGGCAGTATGCCGTTCGTTCTGATTACCTCTATTTTGGGGTAGTTGGCCTCCTTTATAGGCCTTGGGACTTGGTGTGGATTTTCGATGTGGGACTGTGGACGTCGATTGTGAGCATGCCACGTGTCCCAGGAGAGGTGGTTGCCCTAATGGAGCGAAGTAAGACCTAGGGTACCGGTGTGGTAACGGAGGCTCTCCGATGCTTAAGTAAGTTCGGATTTAGTAAGGATAACTGACAGATCAAATAGGCAGTATGCCGTTCGTTCTGATTACCTCTATTTTGGGGTAGTTGGCCTCCTTTATAGGCCTTGGGAAGTGTGCACTTGGTGTGGATTTTCGATGTGGGACTGTGGACGTCGATTGTGAGCATGCCACGTGTCCCAGGAGAGGGGGTTGCCCTAATGGAGCGATCGGTAGGCTAGGTGCTGAAGGCAACCGCGACCAGGCTCGATTCCTTCCACATGTCCTGTTCTTATTGGCTGTTCATTTTGGGTATAAACACACTTGTATATATACCCTTACAAAGCATGCCATTAAGATTTGACTTGATTTGTTTATGCACTTAGAAGCTCAATTTAATAAACTTGCACCTGTTTGTCATTGCATTTATGTATGAAGATTAATGTTACTTCACGGCTGAAATTGCATTATGAGTTCATATTTTTATTCCAATATGAACATATATAGTGATTAATTTCCTCATTTACCTGACCTTGGCTGATATAGAATAAAACGATAGCGATTCCAATTTCATCTCACTTTGGGGAGTTGTTGGATTGGTTTGATACTATTTTGGAGGCCGGCCAATGCTACACAAGATACTATTTGGTTCCAATTTTGGGAGCACTCGAATGACTTTCTTTTTTCTTTTTTTGGGATTAAACGTTTAAGTCCAATCTTTGGTATATTCATGTTTCTTACCATGGCCTATACAAGTTACCGGGAAGCTAATTTCGATTGGCCAAGACTAGATTTCGACTGTTTCCTACCTTATCATTTCATTTGGCATTCCTTTCATGATTCCTACTTCGTATTAATTTTGGATAGCCTTGTTATTAATGATTATGCTGATTTTGGTTTTGTTCTAACCCTTGGCTTCTATGGCTTCCCCTACTAGGCAGGTGCATAGTTTATAAGTTCATAATCCTAACTCATTCTCATTTTGGGCGGAACCGATCTCCTAATTCTTTGATTGGAGGGAGTTACTGAAAAATAGATTCTAAAAGCTAAAAAGGAGATCTTCTTGGTATAATTGATGCTATCAGACATATTTATAAGTGGATTCTCTAATTTCGCACATCTTGTTGGGTTTTATAATTTTTTGAAAAACATACCACTAGTTCACTCGAAAAGGTCTATCCTAGAAAAAATTTATTGGGAAAAAATAAATTTTCGCCGTAACATGTCCATCCCATGAACATTTGTAGGGAAAGAATCCCTAAGAATCCAGTTGGTAAAAGGGAATTCAAGTACAAATTGCAACGCTGGAAAGATCTGTCCCGGCGAACATTTGTTAGCAAAGAACAACATTCGCCGAGAAAGATCAATCCCGGTACTATCACTACATTGTTGTAGTTTATAGTCAATGGTAGTCTTGCACAAATTCTTTTCCTACAATTATAAAATGCCGATTTTGTGCTTTTGTTTATCAATAGGAGTGAGGGAGTCGAATTTGAAACCTCTTTCGTTATTAAGAAGAGAAGCACCACTAGATAGCTAATCAATACCATTGATCGAAAAATAAGAAAGATAACTAACCAATATCCATTTTCCCCGATTTTCGTTTATCGATAAGAGTTGTTTAGAGCATTATCTATTACTCGTATGTCATAACCTTAGTCTCTATTATCCCCTTTTGATTTTATACTTTTCCAGAGTTATTACTCGTATAAAGAATTTAGCAATCCACGTTTAATACTATATTATACATGTACGTGCCTATATTTCAATAATATATCCGTATTTTGTACACGTCTTAAGGACTCAGTAAAATTTACGTTTTTTAAAAAGCAAACGTACAATACTCGTATTGAACCTCTTCGTACGTATTTTTCATGTGTAATACATGTATTTTTTATACAGAATTTTCAATTATACACACAAAATTCACGTATTATACAAATAATTATCACATATTATTGAATACAAATAATATATATTTAAAAATTTAAATAAATTATATGAAAATATTATATAGTGGCCGAACTTTTAAGTTGTAATTTGCCAAAATTTTGCCGAATAAAATATGTACGTATTTTATTGGTATAGCCACGCGGCTATACCAAATTAATATCTATTCTCTGTAAACTTA